CTTGCCTCTGGAATTTGGAAATGCAAAGAGCAATTAGGATCAATTATTGCAATTAAATGTTTCATCAGGAATGTTCCAGGCTCTTCAGGTATCACAAAAACAATCACATCGATGGGGGAACAACAGGGAAGAAATTCCTGGGCACCTGAAATACCTGGAATTTCAATGCCTCACACTTTGGCTCCAGGGATGAAGCAATAAAGCAGATTTGAATCTCACCCCAGGCAGTTTTGGAGCCATTTTTCATGGAACAGTGGGAATGTGCTGGATGAGGATCCAGGAATTTTAACTTTGCTGGTCTTTTCCCAGTGTTCTCCAGCACCGTGGATCCCAAACCTGTCCCAGGCTCTGGTGTTTCCCCTCAGGCTCTGAGCCAGGCTCACCAAAGCTGTTCTGGATTTAGGAGCAGCTCTTTGATCCATGGCTTGGCTGGATCAGGAAAACTTCCCAGGGGAGCACTGAGTGCTCTCCATTCCCAATCCCCTCCCCACAGCAGCAATTCCAACATTTTCCTGCTCCCCTGCAGTGTTGGCACCGCTCTGGGATTTTCTCTGGAATTTGGGGCAGGATTGATCCCTTTGGAATGGAACTTGTGCTGTGATTCCAGAGCTCCATCCCTGATCTCTGTTATCCATAAAATTTCTATTACTTCAAGGATTTTATTCCTATTATTTTTTTTGTTTCTCCTTCTCATCCAGAGAATTAAAGAAATTGGGAATTGCAGTGTGTTGTGTCTGCTTGCAAAATCCACATGAGAGGGCTCTCACCAGACACTCGTGGGGAATTCTCTTGGATAAACATTGGAAAAATTGTGGAATGCTTCCCATCCATTGAAAATATCTTGAATATTTGCTTTATCTCCAGATAATTCCTGTGCTTTGGAAAGGCTGGGAGCTGTCAGGTTATTCCATTTGGGGGTTCAGGTTCTGTAAGTTTTGCCCTGAAAATGGTTTTCCAATGTTTTTTTTCCAGTGGTTTTTTTTTTCCTGAGGTAGAAATCTCACTGGAAATATTGGGAGTTTTGCCTTGACCTGGTTTCAAATATTAATGTTTTATGTCAGGGTTGGAGGGTTGCTCCAATTCCTGATCTTTTTGGAAGAAGAATTTTCTCAGTAATCCCCAAAAATAGCTGGAGCTGTTCCAGTTCTGTTTTCCTCTCATTACAAGATCCAGACTGCAGGAATGAACTTTATCCTATAAAATCAAAGTTCTGGAATGCAAAATAAAATTATGATAAAATAATATATATTATAATAATATTGCATATAATATTATATATATTGTATTATATATAATATAATATTTTATTAGGATTATTTTATATAATAATAAAATCCAAACCAACTTCCAGCATTCCAGAATTATTCCTTTCTAGGGAAAGAACCAAGCTCAGGAGAAGAATTGTAAGGCTTTGATTATCCTGAGGTGTTCAGTGGGATTTGGATCCTGTTTTTTTTCCACCTGGAGACTCCTCTGGGATCACTTTTTTATCAGATCCCAGTGGAAGTTAAAGCAAATCCCAAAAAAGTTTTCAGCCAGTGGAAAAGAGGATTTCAGAATTTTTTATGTATTTTATACTACATATTTTTATATATTTATATATATATATATATGAGATTTTTAGATATATGAGATTTCTATGTATATAAATATATAAATTTCAATAACTTCATGTTGGAGTGCTACACATACAGCTAATTATCTCTGCTTAGCTAATTAACACCAGGGGACTGGGGTGAATATTCTGGGATTGATCTGGAGGATTCTATTCCAAATTTTCACTGGGAGTTCACTGGGTCTTATCCCCCCAAAAAAACTGGATTTGAAACACCTTGAAGTAAAAAATTAATTAAGAGTGGAATGAAATTGCTGCAGCACAGATTTATGCAATAATCAATAATCAAAGATTTAATTAGGCATTCCCCAGGACCTGCAGAAATTCAACTTCTTCCTTTTTTTTTTTTGGTTTCTTCCCTGATCTTTGCAAATGCAGAAATCCATCAAATTCCAGGAATATGGCAAAATCCAGGCTGGTGGTGAAGGGTGAGGAGGAGTGAGGGATGAGTGTGGAAAAGGAAATTTGGGAATGAGGGGAGAGAGTTCAGGAAAATTCAGAATTTAGGGACAAAATCATGGATAAAACAATAATTCTTAACAGGAATCAAAGGAAATGCCATAAAAAATCCCCCAAATGGAGCTGTGTTCAGGGAATTTTATTTTAATTCCCCCTCTAAATAATGAATCATTCCCACATTTTCCTCCTGTTGAGCTCCAGGGGTTATTTTGATACAAATTGTTTTATCTTGGACACAAATCTGAGAAATTCCCGTTCATTTTGGGATCCCTGGATTCTGTTTTCCCTCTCTGCACTGGGAAAACTCCACATTTTTCTATAATTTTGTCACATTTTGCCTCCTCTTTATTTTTTTCCCCTGGTGTTCCCTCTAATTCCAGGGTTGGAATTTTATCAGACGCCTCACAGTGAATATTTCACCCATTTATTTATACAAATGTACAGAATTTACACCTGTTAAAAACAACATTTCAAAGCAATAGCCCTAAAAAATAAATAGGGTGCAGCTCAGCATTTTTGGGGGGTTTGGAACCCCAAACTGGTGCAGGGTGGGTTCAGACCCTTTAATTTCCCTTAATTTTCCTTTTTTTTCCAGGGAGATGCCAGAGGAAGGACAGGCTTTGATTTTATTTTTTTGGGAGTCTCCAGAGCCAGGTGGAATTTGCATAGAAAAAAAAGAGATTAAAACTCTTAAATGGGTGAGGAAAGGGCGGCAGAATTCCAGGTTTGGTTGGGGGTGAGAGCAAAAAAATAAAAAAAAAGTTGATTTTTTATATTAAAAATAATTAAAAACAGTGGTGAAGGTCAATTTTTATAAAGATGTATATATCTAATTTTTATATATAATATTTTAATAACTATATATACTTATTATTTCTAATAATTATATATATAAAATTATTATTTTTAATAGCCTCCCTTGTAAAACTTTCCTTCCCTGGAAAAATCACCTGGAATTAAGTGGGGATCAACTGAACCTCCCTGGAAAATTCATTCCCCCAAGGCTACAAAATCCATGAGCAGATTCCTGATTTTCCAGAATATCCCACATGGATTCAGTGACCTGGGGAGCTCTCCAGGAGTCCAAATTTCCCTGTAATTCCCAAAAAATACCCACATTTTGAGCTTAAAAATACCAGAATTTGATAAAGCTCGAGTTGCTTTGCAGCAGG